TAAAAGGAATAAATTATATTTTAAAATAGATTTTAAAAAAGAACAAAAGTTAATTTAAATTGTTGCAACATGCAGCATTGGTGAGCATAAGCGACAAAAACATTAGAAATGTATTAGATCAAGTCCTCTCTATCAAACTCCTTCAACTTTAACCTAAGATGAGAAAAAAGACAGAGAAAGAACAGGTGTTTTTGTCACATTTACCCAGAGGTTTACCTGCTGTTTTTCTGTAAAAAGGATGCCAGCTGTTTAGATCCACACACAAAGATACAATCAACACAAATAGTGGAGCGGTAACACGGTTTCCTGCCTCCCCACATGGCTCCAAGTGGAGGCAGCCTGCCGGAAAATCACCTATTTAGATGACAAACACTGCAATCCCCTGTAATCCACACATTCTCCATGTTACCTTCCTGCTGCCCCCCCAAATTATGGAGTCTTAATCTGCCCCGCTGTGCTACTGAGTGTTTTATAATGGGCTTAAATATTATTGATCTCTCCTAAAATTACAAGAATGAAACAGTAAACAATAATAAGGCCTTTTCAATATATACCAAACATATAAAAACAATTGTCTAGGCCAGGGGTAGGCAAGTTCGGTCCTAGAGAGCCGCAGTCCTGCAGAGTTCAGCTCCAACCCTAATCAAACACACCTGAACAAGCTAATCAATGTCTTCAGGATTACTAAGGCTATAGGCAGGTGAGTTTTTTTTTTCAGGGTTGGAGCTGAACTCTGCAGGACTACGGCTCTGTAGGACCGAACTTGCCTACCCCTGGTCTAGGCTCTGTGGCATACAGTGTTTAAAGAAAGCAGTATTTACTTAGTCTTAAACGTCCACTTAATTTGAAGTTTAAATAAAAAAACTATAAAGATCATTGGTTCAATTAATCTTTTAAGGGTTACATATTACAGAAAATGAAAATAATATAAATTCTGATTGATACTGATATAATGAATGGCCTATAACTGATAAAAGACCAATATTAAAATTGTTGCTGTATATAGTCAATTCTAGTTGCATTTATTTCTATAGCTATTTATACAATGTTTCAAAGCAGCTTTTACATTAAAGGGGTCATATGATGCTGCTAAAAAGAACAGTATTTGGTGTAATGAAATGGAAAATAACATTGTTAATATTGTAAAATTCATAATTTGTGAAACAACTTAAATGTCAACTAGAAAGCAGCTCTACAGAAGACATTAGTGTCATTATTAAACTGAATTTTGTTCAGTGTTGTTTCAATTCAGTTCAATTACTGTGTCAATGCTCCAGTTCATCAATTATGAAACAGGTTCATTTCAAATATAAGCAGTTTTACAGAAGGCAATAGTGTCATTATTCTACACAATTCAGTTCAATACAGTAATAGCGCACATGTTAGTTAGTCATCATCCAGCTCAATTTAGTTCAAATTCTCATCTGATAGTATCAGTCCAGTGAAATCAGTAATAGTAATTGTCTTTTAAACCCAAACTGAGCAAGTCCAAGGCAATAGGGACAAGGAACCACAACTCCTAAACTAAATGTTTAAATATTAACATACTTAAAACTATTGATTTTAAAAGCTAAAAGTGATGCATCAATTCACAGCATTATAAAGCATGTACAGTAAAACACATATTCATATGTTAGATGATTACAAATCTAAATGTTAAAATTGAATAAATTAGCTTGCACAATTAAAAATATCCAATATCAGTCAATACTGATCAATTAAAAAACAAACAGACTACAATTTGATGCTTGAAAACACATTTGGGACAGGGTGTACACTTCATCTTTAAGATACTTGCTCTGAGACAGTGTTTGACTCTCTTCTTAAGTTAAGCTAGGAAATGAACTAAAGCAGATTCAGATGTCAGTGGATCATCAAAGATGATCCTATATGTATCAGCTCATATAATTCACTGACCTTCTTATCATTCCAGGAGAACGTGTTTCATCTACTCCGTCAGAGAGAGAGTGAAGGGGAGAGAAAGAGAGAGTGTTTGCCCTCAGATAGGGTGAGAGGATTATCTATGAATTCAATCCCTGCTTGATATTGCCATCCTTGTCCATCTCTCTCTCACGTGTGCTTTCTCTCTGCATCTCACCCCCACTCAGAAATACATGTTTTTATTATCTGAAGATGTTAGTCCAAGATAAGATGCTCCCTACGCAGACACCTTTCCTGCAATCACAAAGCTATTCTGCTTTTCTATTTAACAGAATAAGCATTCACGGTGTCACTGCGTTACTCGGCAGGAAATCGCAAGTGATTTGAAATTTGACTAATGCGTGACAATAAAAAGGATGAGAGCATTAGACGAAGCGTTGAGAAACAATTTGCAGTTGTTTTAAAGTAGCGTCTCCATGCTGCCTCTGTGTACAGAAGAATAATTTGCAAATCTCCTGACAAATTCTAAAGATGAAAGGCTGAAATGTCCTGAAGTCTCTGAGAGCTTTTACCACTCACAATAGCCACATGGTGAGGCATTGAGGAGCTAAAATCGTTGCCCTTAACATTTTGGGTCGCTGATATTATCAACTGGCACTTGACTTTTGCAGAAGGACAAAGAAACGCCGGCCACAAAGAGACGATTTCTGTGATTAGTGATAAAAAAGGGTGACTTTCAGTCCAGGGGACATAGTATCAATCTCAGCCAATTTTAGGCCACCAACATGAAATATGATTTCATAAGACAAATGCGGTGTCATTCTTAATGTGCTTAACCTTTACTGTCAATGAAAAAGTATTGATCGCTCCGTGGTATTTTCTCATCATTTGATTTCAGAGAGCCTGGTAATATATGATGGTGTGATAAGATGAAAGATGAATGGCAGCTGAATGCTCTCACTTTAACAAAGCTGAATGGCCCCCGCTGAGAGATGGTGGGTGCGGATAGAGGAGACAGGAAACAGGAGGAGAATATAGGCTGAAATTTGTTAGACATTGTTACTTTCTTAGTTCATCCTGCTACTTCTTTAGTTCACCCAAAAATTAAGATTCTATGAGCATTTACTCATCCTCATGTCATTCCAAACCTTTCTTTTCCACAAAATAAAAAGGAAATAGCTGAAAGAATGTTCTGGCAATGCTTCATAAGCTTCATAAGTGTGCAAAAGGATTGGTTTATTGAGTCAACGAGTCAAACTGGAGAACCGGATCAGTCCAGTGTTTAAAATATATGACTCAAAAGAACGAATCATTTGTGAATCACTACTTTCCTTATGAGCTCTTATGAACATACTAAGGAGAGCTTGTAATGTAGCACATTAGTTTTTTGACATTTTATGGTGCTTTTAATATGCTTTTGCAGTACCATTCAAACATGTGGGCTCATTTTTTTAAGCATTAAGATTAATACTTATATTCAGCAAGGATGCATTAAAGTGACAGTAAAGACATTTATAGTGTTACAAAAGGTTTCTATTTCAAATGCTGTTCTTCTTTGGCAAACTTTATATTTGCCAAAGAATCCTGAAAAAAAAAAGTATCATGGTTTCTACAAAAATATTAAGCAGCACAACTGCTTTCAACATTGATAGTAATAAGAAATGTTTCTTGTGCATCAAATCAGCATATTAGAATCATGTGACACTAGAGTAATGGCCGCTGAAAATTCATTTCCCTAACATTTTTATAAATTTTAAAATATTTAAATGATATTAAAATAGAAATTGTTGTTTTAAATTGTAAAAATATTTCTTAATAATTCAGTTTTTACTGTATTTTTGATTAAATAAATGCAGTCTTGCTGAGCATAAGAGACTTAATTGCATGGTAAAAAGCAACCAATGTATTATTTAGAATTTCTCTGTTCATGTTACACAGAAGAAAGTAAGTCATACAGGTTTGAAATGCTGTAAGGGTGAATAAATGATGAGAGAACTTTAATTACAGGGTGAACTATCCCTTTAAAGCACAATGGCATCAAAAATATCATCACCGTACACCGGTGAACTCTTGTACTGACAGCATCTTTTGGGATTATACGCTTTGTGATTCATATCAAAAGCAAACTCAGAACTTGTCAAAAAAGAATATCAATTTGATTTCAGAAATAACCTGCTGTCTATATCACTGTTGACTGCCATTAGGATATGCTGTCTTTTTTACTCTTTCTGTCTGCTGTCACCGCGCCTGTTCTCCTCTGTCTGCTCGCAGCACTGTTTCCATTACTGCCTCATTGTGATGAGTAATTGGGGAGTCTGTGTGCAGTCCTGCGTGAGCTCTTGATCTACTTAAAGAACCTAATAAGCCTGTATTCTGCAGCCCTGCAACCAAATAAGCACTGCATTCACCTGGCTTATTAGGAGGTTAGCTTGATTTATTCACCTGTGCGTTTGTATGTGTGCTTGAATGTGAGTTTTTGACAATGGCAAATTGCTACAATGAGGAGAAATCAACCACATGGGTTAAAATGAGTAAAACAAAGCAAAAAAAGATTATCTATCCATCTATCTATCTATCTATCTATCTATCTATCTGGAATATTCACACTAATTTTTACTAAAGTAATTTATCTCTGAAGTGATTTAAAAATTAGAGAAAAAAATTAATGGGATCAGATATGTTTTTATAAAAAAAAAAACATTAGCTGCATTTTTTTTTCTTTTATGTAATTTTTCTGAACAACAAAATCAGCTTTATTTTCAAAAAAAAATGTCATGGTTGAAATGAAGTGTTTTATTTGCAATAGTTAAATACTTCATTTTAAAAAGAAACATTTTTCAGTGGACCTACATTTCAATTTTTTTGTTTAAAAATGTAAACTATAAAAGTGCCTTTTAAAATAAAAGTAATCCATGGTTATACATGGTTATCCATATGGTTCATCCACAGAACATTATTCTTTAAGTATAATTTGTTCTGTTAGGTATAAATGTACCTGTTTAATTTAAAGCTGTCACCTCATTTAAACTATTTATAAATAATGCCTGCAGAATTAAATCATTTCTTGCTGTAATCAATGTACCAAATCATTCATTTTTATTTTGTATTCACTTCCTCAGCTCAACCCTCTGGCCAGTCAGGCAGTGGTTGCCGCAGCAGCAGCAGCCATGGGTTCAATTGCCGGGTCACAAGTGTTTGGTAATGCTCTCTCCAGCCTGCAGGGGGTCACTGGACAACTGGTCACCAATGCACAAGGACAGGTACATATATCCACACACACAGCACTTTTAAACGATTGTGCACATATGAAATGCACATGTAAGCTGAAGTCTGCCGCACATTAATCACAGGACTGTGAGTCGAAGGACAAGTAAACGGTCTGAACATCATTTCCTTTATTAGTATAATGTAACCTAGATACCCAAATCCAGTCTTCAGTACTGACCTTCGTGCCCAGTCTTTAGCCCGTTAGAGCGAGTCCGAGAGGGGCATTGTTTTTAGATTGGACAGCAGTGTGGGAGTGCAGGGGATAAAATGCTGACCTTGTCATATTTACGGGGCCGGCTGCAGAATTGTTCCATCAGTATCCAGAGGCTTGAACGATGAGGCTTGTCAGACCAGGGCCCTATCTAATGAATCATCTTATCGCAGGTGCGCACCGCTCCCATATTAAAGGAAAGATTGTATAGCCAATGTGCCCTTTCACGCTACAGACGGCATTATTTACCTTAACCCTTGTCTCTTTCCCCTCATCGCATTGACACTTTCTCTTCTGTAATACGACGGAAAGCATTGTTTGAGAAATCACATGCTGGGGTCCTCTTTATGTAGCCTACCCGCTTATATTGAAGGCTTTATAGATGCTTTTAACAGTTCTGGTTGTAAATGTAATCAAAAATGTCTAATGACATTTTATATGTAAAAGGAACTATATAATCGCGCACAGTGAGGACAGTAGAATAAATCGGCTTGTCAACTCTTAAAAGGGAGGAGAAAATGGTCTCCATATCTTTTGTTGTTGACGTCAAAAGCAGTGCGTCAAAACCAACTAATCTATAATCTAGTAGAAACTGGATACATAAGGCAGATGCATCTGTATATATACATTTATTACACACACACACACACAAATATGTAATAAACATATACTACTGTTCAGTTTGTGCTCAGATTAAAAAAATAAAAAATTAATAAATTTATTCAGAAAGGATGCATTAAAGGCAGAGTAAGTGATTTCTGGTAGCCAATGTTGATATTTGAAATCACCAAAACAAACACTCCCCTACCCCAAAAGGGTCTTGCCTCTATTTTGATAGCTCCGCCCCACATATACGTACGCAACCAAGGTAACGAGTAGACACGCCCCTTACTGCTGATTGGCCTCAAGTTTGTTTCGCTATTCGGCCCGAATCAGTTTTCTAAAGTGTTTTTGAAAAATCACATACCCTGCCTTTAAATTGATCAAAAAAGGGAAAAAAATTTATGGATCTTAATTAACATTAATTAACAATGAACAGTTGATTTTCTATTTGAACATACTTTAAAATATAATTAATTTCTGTGGTGGCAAAGCTGAATCTTCATCAGCCATTATTGTAGTCTTCACTGTCACATGATCCTTAAGAAATCATTCTAATATGTTTATATTAAGGGGTGTAACATTTCCGTCACACGCTTGAGGTATTCAGCCAATCACAATGCACTAGATAGCTGGCCAATCAGAGCACACCTCGCTTTTCAGAACGATGAGCTTTGTAAAAATCGGGGTCTAAAAATCTAAATCTTAATTGATACAAATATCTTAATGATATAAAAGATTAGTAAATATTTTACGTTTTTTAGCTGTAAATACGTAGCAATTTTACATTTTATACATTGTAATACATCCAAATTGTACTTTTTAGCATCAATCAAAACATCCAAAAATGTACATGCTATGCTTGTAAATGTTACATACTAATACCTACGTATAAACAATGAGACCAGGCTCTAAATTGTCACTCATATGAGAAGATGCCAAATGTGTGCATGTGTACTGTAGGCGTTACCTAACGAACTGGTATGGCCTTGTCTATACTGAAGGTGCCTGCAGGGCTTGGCTGGACATATCGGCATGGCGATGCCGTTGATGGGATGCGCTGTGTGTTTGTAGTGTCATGGCGGCTGACACTGGCTGACATAATCAGGTCACTGAGACGGTCAAAGCCCAGGGCTACAGGCTCTGCTCTCGACCTTATTACTGACGCACATTATTCAGTTTGAGCCTACTAAAACACCCACCGCCCTTTTGAGCCTCGTCCCCCACATTTCTTTTGCTTTTAACATTAAAATGATACTAATACAGGCCACAGACATGGCCAGGGGAGCAGCAGATGCTGCCACCGACCAAAAAAATAAAAAAATTACAGTTTTGGAGTAAAGGGATGAAGCAATGTGTTACTTTAGACTGAAGCACTCTTTGTTTGGTTAGGGTGTTGATTTAGCTCTTAGGCATTAATGTTGGCCAGATATTAGATTACTAAAATAACACAAATGTGGCTGTGTTGCTTAAAGCTCAGCCTAAAAGCAGCAGAGTTTTCCTTCAGCTGAATATTGTCTCATTTGGGATGATAGATTGTTACGGTGTCTAAGAAAAGGATGAACATTGTTTTTGTGGAGGATTGAGTGTTAAATGACATTTGAAGAAGTAAATAAATAGTGAATGTTGCTGCATTTGAGTAGGCCTGCTGTGATTATTAATCGTCTGATCGCATCTGATTATTATTTGATCTAACTGCAATAAATGTGCAGTTCAAATTTCTGTCACAATTTGCCATTCAAATAATGGAAATGTGAGCATGTAAACAAATACAAATCAAGGATTAACATAGAGTTTCGCATATGGTAATTGACATGTAGTCACTGGATGAGGAGATGAGTCACTTCATTTATTTATGTGGAAAGAGAAAGAAAATATACCAAAAAAGTACACAAAGACAATCAAACGTCTTCCTTCATGTGAAATGGAGGCTTGTGGATTTTATCAGACTGCATATTATAATAATATAATATAATATAATATAATATAATATAATATAATATTATATTATATTATATTATATTATATTATTATATTATGCGAAGAAGTGAACCAGTTCAAATGTAAAGTTGACCAAGATTAAAGTTAAACAAAAAGATAAATATTTTAACTGTTAAAATATTATTTTTACATCCTTAAAAAAATCATATCATACTACTAATTTTTTTCTACTATATTTATGTTTCCAAGTAAAATATAAAAATAATGTATTAGCCTTACATTGTAAGTGACTTGAGCAATACAGACAATTAAAGTATTAATTGCAAATATTTGTTTGACAATTTATCGTCAGCACAGAATTTATGATCGTGATAGGCCTGCATCTGAGAATTAACACATATTCAAGTAAACATGTTTATTACTTGGATATGACTTAGTCTGATATGTTTAACTGTATAATTTATCATTTGACAAATAAATATGTTTAAAAATGTCTTGTTATGGAGAAAAAAAAAGTTAATATTTCTCACTGCAAAACCGAAAAATGTAAGGACTTAAGCATGATATAGGGGGACTGTGAAAACATTTCTTTTTAGCCTATTGTATTTTCACAGATGTGACGGGGTCTGAAGAGAGCAAACATTACAGCAGTATTTGTTAAAGGGTCCTCTGCCATCCACTCTCAAGTCTAGTCATTCATCTTTTAGATGGAAAAGAAACACTTTTTTGCTTAGGATCAAATGAGTGGGAAGATCAAAGTTTTTCACCACAATGACCTTAGCAGTCTCTTCTGGGCCTGAATGATAGCAGAGGCAAAATTCCCAGCTCTTTTAACACCCTTTGGCTTTAAACATCTCCCTCCTCTGAATCTTCACCTTGGTTTCATCCATCTCCTTCATTCTAAATTTACCTGGACCAAGACTCCATTGGGAAATAGTGAAAAAGAAAGAAAGAAAGAAAGAAAGAAAGATAAATAAATAAATACAAATAAACAAATAATGTTAATTTAAAATGTGTAAATATTTTACAATTGTAATAATATTTAATTAATTTATTATCATTTATTTAATACTAATTACAGTAACAGCTTGTACTTAATGTGTAATGTTCTGTTCTTTAAACATTACAATTGTTTTATAATTGGATTAATTATATAAACATGCAATACGAAAAACATGGACACATAATATAATGTGTTATTGTTTTAGCATAAACTTTCTTGCCAGTAAAGTCCACAATTCATGTTAATAGTTTTTTTTTTTTATTTATCTTTATATATAAAGGAAATCATTTCTTATCATTTAACCAAATATTGCTAAGCAATTGATAACTTCAGAATCAGAAAATAGCATTAGAAAATGCAGTTTTTGACCGTTTCTGATCTGTTTCTTTCACAGCGACGGGTGTTAGTAGTTTGGAATTCTCTCTCAATATGTGTCCCCATCCTATTCCCTTCCAAACAGCGGGCAGTAGGGCAGAAAATGGGCAGGGATATTGTCTGGCGGCCATGGCTAACACTGAAGATTGGCCTGGCTGCAGGAAGAGATGACATTCCCAGAGAATCACTGCCAGTATAATCCTAATGAGTTCTGCTCAAAGAGGAGAAACAGAGAGAGAGAGAGAGAGAGAGAGAGAGAGAAAAAGGAAGAAGGGAGATGAACGCTCGCCACAGTGTTAAACACATAAAGTGTAGAAGAATAAAAGCAAGTCTTACTGTATATAGTATAAGAACAAGAGAAAACAGTTATTGACAGACATGTGACACAATATATGGACCCTTTAGAATTGATTTCATAGTTATTCTTTTATCTACTGCCATTTCAAGCAGGTGTTCCTCATGCGTACAAAATACGTTATCAGATTTATAAGGGCTCATGCTGGATTGGTTGACAATGTTTCAGGAGATTGTTTACATCAAACACCCAATGTGATCGAGTCACCGGAAAAGTCCACATATGCTTCACACAGTTTTACCAAATGGATTTTTATTTGCTACTTATACAGATTTATGAGGAACATGTCAACGCTAACATTTCAGACATTGATGGAAACCATTTTAAACTTAATTTGTCCTTCTGCGTCACTTTTCTCTAGCTTAGCTGCTTTATTTGGGACAAACATCATATACTGTAATTTCAACTCCCATCACCCTAAAAATGTAAAGGGTTAATTCACCCAAAAATTAAAATTCTGTCATCCCATGTGTCATTCCAAATCTGTATGACTTACCTTCTTCTACGG